AATATAATACATCCCAACCGAATTTCAAAAAAAAAACGACGGAAGGTGTAATTAAAAAAAAAAACCGGATTAAAAAATCGTCTATCCGTATTATTCAGTTTCGTGCTAAATTTAGAATTATGTTCATATAAGTTTAGAATACACACAACCCCGTATACTTTAATACCGGTAAAAATATGTCTAGAATAGCCATTGACTTGTGTTCTTGCTACAGTACTAGCACCAGCTTGCTTAATTTAGATGTAATCTGCTATATTTACAACCAATTCCTTTTTACTGAAGACGTGATTGAAAATACGAGAAGAATTGATAAGCAACTGAGAAACAAATGAACAAAAAAGTAACCCGAACAACGTTTTCTGTATTTCTCTCCATTGCAATCTACTAATACAAGTCTAGGTTCAATAAGGCTCAGAGGATTGTGACTTTACTGCCATCTTTCGGTAAGTCTAGACAGAAGCCGAAATAGCTCAAAATATTTCTGATTTCTCTGTTCTCAAAAAATATTTTGTTTCTCGAAGAAAAAAAAATTTTTTTCGCTCTCAAGTAATTTCTCTATTTTTTTTTCATGGTAAAACTAGATCGCAAATACAAAACACGAGAAAAAGATTAAAAAGTAAAAATTGGGACCAAAAGAAATCCGCTTTCATAGAGGAGGAGTATCATCTTTGACATTGCTACAATTAAATGAAAATGAAGGTAAGTCATACAAGAGCTGAATTAATAATGATTCCCCACCTCACTTTATTTTTATGAAATTACTAATATTTGTCGTAGTACATTAATGTACCAATTTTCTTTGTAGGGTAAGACAAAGAGTTTTAATTTGTGCGTGGATGAAAACCTTGTGCTTTCCCCCTGTTTTGAAAAAAAGTTTTGATATAACTACTGTTTCTGAGTAATGGGCCTTTTATTCAAGTTTAGTGTAAACTTATTCATTCGATTTGAGTTACTCTATATCTGACTTGCAAGTACTACTTCTATACCAGCCTTGTTTGTACTTGTTGCTCTTCACAACTGATCATATAGCCGTTTTAATACTGCATTTCGTACTGCGAACAACTGTGGTCTTAATGTTCTATCATCGCTTATATAGTTAACTTCTCATAGAAAACACAATTTACATTTTTCTCTGGAGACGTAAAGCTACATTATGAGTTAACTGCGCCGTGTCCCGCCGAAATCGCATCCCGAATTTAGCATTATAAGCCCTTAAGCTTACCCATAAGCCACAAGGGGCATAGTTTTAACCAGATCTTGCTATGCTGTTCGAGTATACAGTAAATTTGATTTTTGATTGTTTATCATACAAAACATCCTGCATCATCTAATTGTTCAAATATACATTAAATTTTATTTTATAGTTTCTCATACAAAACATAGTACATCTTATAATTATGAATCTGGGATACATTTAGTTTCATTGGTAATCATAAAAATGTTCAAATAAATGTTTCACGGGAATTTGAATCATTTCGTAAACTTTTCCACTCAGACGCTGTCACTTCTTTTTTCTTGTTTTTGCTATCAAAGCTCTCGCTTTTGTAATATTCTAGATACATTAAGTCTTCGTACAAAAAATTGTTTGTTGTTGTTGTTATTTTTTGGGGGGGGGGCTTTTTTTTCATCATTTTCAATCAATGTTCTATACACTATCGTAAATGCATCTGGATCATTGTAGAAACGTCTGGCTTCATCCACTTAGAAGACTAAATCGTTGTTTGTTTGAAGTTCTTAAGTGAATCGTCTTTGTAGCATCTGCTCCAGTTTCTCTGAACATGAAAAAATATTCGAACGCTACGTGGATATTACGAAGAATAAAGAACTTTTAGAACTTCCAATATACTCATCAGAGAACAAAGTTGAGGGTCATCAATACAGTATTTAGAAATAAAACCTGCAAAGTTTCTTAAAACGATTAATATTAAGGTTAAAACTACGTGCATACTAGAACGATTTTTACTCTACAATTTAATATAATTCAGATCCAGTTTTATCATACTGTAAAAACTTGTGGTGTTATAAGGCAAAGTTTTTCAGTAAAGATTAATCTATTTGCTTGATTGGGCATAAGACCTGCATATCTGTTTTATCAAAGGATTTATGTTTTCCAGTCTCCATATCTGATTGCTGAAAACACAATTAAGTTTTTATTACGCTTAGTAATTCTTTATTTGTCGGAATTTGTAATATATTGTCTTTCATTATTTGGTTCAGAAGGAATGTAGTTCAAAATTAATCCTCACAGAACTCGAAATCTTCAATAACCGCTTTCATTTTCTATGTTTCATTTTGTGTACCTGCCATTTTGCCTAAACATTAATAGGGCATACAACTATTTCATCCATATACTCGAATTTTAAGCATAATGAATAGAAAGAAAATTATGGGTAAAATGTAATTTTTTCTTGATTAGTTTAATAGATACTGCTTTTATTGAAGTACTGTTAATAATTTGAGACTTTAACAGAGAATTTAATCATGGGCCTAAATCTGGTTGAACAGATATGGCAATGGTTGAGACCTTAAGCTTCATTTTCTAAGGGTTTGTGACTTAGCGTTGGAACTTTAAGAAATAAATTACATGCAATTTTAACGCAACACAACTGTAAGGAAGGCGAATAAGCTGTCTAAGAAACGTGCAGCTAGTAAGAACGTGAAGAGAATATGTTTTTCGGTTGAAAGTCGTTTTAGTAATGGATTAACGTATAAGTACAGATAAGGTTAGATCTTGAAGATGTCAGACGAAATTAGGCACTGTCTTAATACACAAGATTTTTCTTGTACTGCTGAAGTTCAGTACGTTTAATCCATGTTAAGGAAGACGTTTCAGACAACAATCTAGGAGCATAGTTACAGGAAAAAAAAAGGATGTCCTCTTTGTTATGTAAACTGGACAAACATTTATGTGAAATTCATTCTCCTATTTCACACAATTATGAAATTGAGAAATGTTGCATTAGAGGTTTAGAAAAATAATACACTTCTTGGTAAGTGTAAAACCGGACTCTAAATTGTTTTTAGTCTAGGCATTTATTATCTATATATATACAAAAGAGGAAGTTTGTTTATTTGTTTATTTTGTTCACTATAGGAACCCAAACGGTTGAACTTACAAAGTCTGATATCGACCACTGTTATCACGAAGAAGATGGCTGAAAAAACTGAAATCGTACAATTATATTCGACCAGTGCAGTTCCAGTGAACTCTTATGTACAGCAGAAGATCTACAAAAAATATGAGAATATGTATGGTTTGAGTTTGGCTCGACAACTTTCGCAGAAGATTCTTCCAAATTGTAGTGTTGAGCAATAATGAATAATCGTGGCTATTAAAGTTAACATCGATAGAAGTAGTTCAAGGAACGTAAAACATCGTTCTTATGAAGTGCGATTAATCTCGGTGCATGCTTATATGTAGATTTACAAATGATTGCTCATGGAATTAGCGAATACACAGGTTCTTTCTTAGGGTATTGTCGAGAAAATGTAATCAACTATTTTCCCTAAAATTCGTTGATGTTTTCACTTACATTTTAAAAATCTGACTATTTCAGTGTTCTTATAAAAAGATAAACGCACGCATACCTGTTCATTTCGGCGTATACAATGGAACAAGTTTATACTTTTTAAGAAAACTTTACTGCAATTTTTGTAGTCAAGGCTAAAAACTACAAACTCGGTGTTTTCAAAACAGATTATGATACAAGAATAAAGCAATCATAATTAAGAATTATCAAGAACAAATAGATGAGTCTGATGAGTGGGAATATATGAAAATTTATAAGAAGGCAAGACTAAAAAGCTAGGTATCATCGAAGAAAGATTCAAATCTCTGGTTTCGTCTGGTTTATCAGGTAGTGTAAACATTCAACCAGATCAACTCGCGTTTTAGTACGTACTAAGAGAATGGTGGTTTGATTCAGGTTAAGCTTTGGTTTATATTAGGTTGATAAACCAATTTACTTTCGTGCGATTCATGATAAATTTTTCTTACTTATATTTTCAGTCTTAATGGTACTGAAGTTTAGTTTACAATAAACTCTGTCTTAAAGTTTTGATGATTAAAGTTTCTTTAACCCTAAACATCCAGCTAAACAGATCATTTAAAAGTGGTGGCTGTGAACAGGAATACTACAGTTCCATGTGTGTCTTTTTTGAGTGTTCCTTAAAAATATGTATCAAATGTTCGAATAGTTGAACCACTGCAATCTGTCCTCAATGAAAACATGAATATTTATATATGTCGTTTGAATAATGGGATAATGTCTTTAATGTCTAAAACAGTCCTCACATTAATTTGTGGATAAGTTTCTTTAATTAGTCTTATAATTATATTTTTATTGAGTCTGTACGATAGATACGGTAGAACACAAGGGTCACAGGACACTGTGGAACATTTCGTACTAGATGAGAAGGGTTGTTGACATCCTTCCAGAACGTATTAAACAGATTATTAACAAAATGAAATGGAAACTCGTTTTTCTTGTTGTTGTTCAGCTCTCTTTGAAA